CACCCCCCAAGGGAATCCACAGGGAGGGGAGCTGTGCTTACTTGCTGACGGGGTTCTTAATGCCCTGCCCCTCTGATCCCAGCCCCTCTCCTTCCTTCCAGCCCATCTTCATCAGCATCTGGTAGCCGATGTTCTCCACGGTCAGCTTGAACTCCTTGTACTCCGAGTAATCCGGTTCCCGCCCCTCCTGCGGACACACAGAGGGGAGGTGGTTGTTGCTGGGGAGGGGGAAAAGCAGCTCCAGGCACCCCAACCCCAAGTCAGGCTGGTTTTCTGGGGGGTTCCTTGGGATTCCAGCCCTGCAGCAGCACAGGGGAGCAGGGGGAGCTGCCGGGAGACCAGGAACGTCCAGCTCCTGCATTTTAAGCTGCTCGGCGGATGGAGTTGCAGATCCAGTTCCTATTTAAGCCTGAAGTCTCCAGGGAACATCAGGGCCCCTCGCTGGATGCAGGGGAACGGGGAGGGATGTGCCAACACCAAGCAGTTCTGGGGTTTAGGAAGAACTGGCGGGTACTGGAGCGCTTCGCATAAGCTCTTTGTGGGCTTTGTGTTTTCACTTTGCTGCAATCATCGGGATAAAAATTCCAATTTCCCTCAGCTTGGCATCAGCAGCCACTTATCCCGGACAGTATGAGGGCTGGGTCTGGAATTCCAGCAAACCCTCCAAAAAAACCCGTTGGGTCATGGAATGGTTCGGGTTGGAAGGGACCTCTTGCTGTGGGCAGGGACACCTTCCACTGGACCAGGGGTGCTCCAACCTGGCCTTGGACGCTCCCAGGGATGGGGAATCCTCTGGGAAATCCATTCCAGGGCCTCCCCACCCTCACGGGGAAGGATTTCTTCCCACTGTCCCATCTAATGTTGCCCTCTGGGGCACTTCAGGCCCTTGTCCCAGGTCCCTCTCCAGCTCTCCCAGAGCCCCTTCAGGCACTGGAAGGAGCTCTCCAAGGTCTCCCTGGAGCCTTCCCTTCTCCAACCTGGCCTTGGGAGCGCTTCCACCACCCCAGGAAGTCTCTGCTGTGTCACCTTCAGCGCCTTGAAGGTCTCCATGAACTTCTCCAGCTCGTCGGGCGGGAGGAAGTCCCCGATGAAATGTTTCCCTCTGCCCATCTGGGTCAGCTGCTCGGCCCACTCTGCCAAAGGACAAAAGGAAACAGGGATGAGAGAGCGTTCCCTGGGATTTCAGGGGGGCTGAGAAGCACAGGGACGGGCATCTGTTGTCCCCACAGGTCGCGCTCCCGCCGTGGGAGATGCCCCTCTGTGAGGCCCTGCCCCACACACCTCGTGTCTTGTCCATCTCCATGCGCCTCAGCTGGTGCTCCCAGGTGCCCAGCTCGCTGTCCACCTCCTCATCGCTGTCATAGCCGTGCTGGTGCTGCTGGATGGCCTTTTCCCACATCATCTGCATCTCCTGCATGGCCCGTTTGTGCTTCATGATCATGTCGTACATCTGCTGCATCTGAGGGGGCACCACGGCGTGCTCAGAGCCCTGCCCCAACCCCAGCTGCTCCCCCAGACCCCCCCTGGGGCAGAGCTGCTGCTCCACCTCCCCTCAGACACGAGCCCTCTGTGCTGGTTCCCCCGACAGAGCCTCCTGAGCATCCCTACCACCCTCCAGCAGCCAGTTCTGCTCCCATCCCCCCCAAATCCTGCAGGAACCCCCTCAGCTCCCCCCGCTCCGACCCCACTGCCGAGCAGCCCCGATCCAGCTGCAGCTGTGACACCACAGACCTTTATAGATTTTGGGTTTAGGCTGCTAGGGCAGCAATTGGCTGCTTCCATCCCTATTCCCCAAAGCCCTGGGCTGTTCCTGCTGACTGCAGCATCCCGTGGATCTCAGGCATCCAGCACAAATCCCAGAGATTTATTTGCTGCAAAGGTTTCTTTGCTCTTTCTCCTCCCCCCCCCCCCCCCATGAATTTTGGGAACCACTTCAGGGCTTCACCTCCTGCTGCTCCTTCAGCTGCTTCTTCTGGGCCTCGGAGAGCTCGGTCACACCCACCAGGCCCACGGGCTTCCCTTTCTCGTAGCCAAGGCCCTTGAGGTCCTGGACTGTGAAAAACACGTGTTAAAAGGCCGTTAAAAACCTGAGAGCCCAGTGAAGGCAAATCCCAGCTGGGAGGGACCCAAAGGATCATCCTGTGCCACCCCCCAACCACCTCCCACCAGACCAGGCAACCCTGGACAAGTCCAGGTTGTTTATAGGATTTTTATAAAGTGTGAAGGGGAAGTTATAAAAACACGGCTGGGGCTGCAAAAGAAAAAAAAAAACCAAAACACAAAAAACAAAGAGATTTCCAGGACAGAGACTGCCTTGCAAACTAGCTGGCAGCTCCTCCCTAAAGCACCTCTCAGATACTGAAGAGCTGGAAAGAAGCCCCAAAACGCTCTGCATTTATCAGTAAAAGGGGAAGGATTGCTTCCTAATGACTGCCAAGCCCCCGTGGGTGCGTGTGTGAGTGCAGGGCCAGCCTGCAGTTAAGTGCTGCTTCATTCATTATTCATCATCTATTAATTACCAAGCCCAATTACTGGACGATCGTTGCTCACCACACCCCATCGCGGTAATGAGGCCCCTGGGGTGGGGGGGGGGTGGGGGGTGAGGGGTTTGGAGTCCCCCTCCCTCCAAATTCCCGCTCGGGGCACTCGATCCGAGCACTCTGATCCCCCACAGATCTCCAAGTGGTCTCCTTAACTCCAGGACACCCCCCAGCTCTTTCCCTCCATCCCCTCCCCAGCTCCGGGCCCTGCACACTCACTCTCGGTTACGTAAAACACTGCAAGAGGTTTTCCAGGAGTGTGACGCTGGGAAGTGCACTGTCAGCTCCCAAGAAACGGGAGCAAACGGGAGAATAAACCTATTTCTTGCTGAGGGCCAGCCTGGTTCCTGTCTGGGGGGAGCAGGGGAGGGAGCTGGGAATGGGTTTGATGGACACGTCGGGGCTGATGGATGTGGGTGCTCCGGCATCACCTCCCGGCTCAGGGCATGGGAAAAGCTTTCCCTGAACGCTCCAAGGAAAGCTCTGCCCTTCACAGAGGTCACAGCAGCTCGTGCCTTCCCTCTGAACTGCAGGAACACCCAGCTGAGAGCTCCAGAGGCTCCCGAGGCAGCGCCTTCCCAATAACACAGCCACCTTAGAGGTGAGGCCGAGCATCCTCCTTCCCTTCCCAGGAACGAGATCCTGCTGCTCCTTCCCTTCCCTAAACCACCCCCCCCGGGCCTGTCTGACCGCTCTGGGGCTCTGCAGGCTCGATGCTCAAAGGCACTGCAGGAATTCAGCCCTGGGAGGTGCTTGAATTTTTGTGTGGCTTTGGCCCAAAGGACCAGGACGGGCAAAGTTGGGAGAAAAGGCAAAGGCTCCACCCCAAGCTCCATCTGCAGATGGAAAAGTGTTCACAAATAACACCGAGGAATTTGCACAGAAATAGGTAAGATTTCTAAGTCCACCCCCCCTGCTTTCTGGCACCAGGCAAACACAGTGCAGAAGGCAAGGAGCTGCTTCTCAGCCTCACATTCAGCAAGGTTGGGAAAAATACCTTTTTTTTTTCCCCCCCCTCCCTGGAGTGATATCGGCTTTGCCCACAGGGTTAATGGTGCAGTGTGTCTGCAGCGTTGGCAGAGCAGCACCTGAAGCTCTATCCCTCTCCCAGATGCCTGAAGAGCAGCTCCTTACAGGAGAAACCCCAGCACACGAGTGCTCTCCTCCTCCCCAGCCCGAAGATCTTTAATTCAGGCTAATCAGACCCAAGCCCGGGTTTCACGAGGTGGCAGTGACAGCCTGTAATTTGTCATTAACCCCCAGAGTTCACTAATCACACACCTCTGGCTCAGCTTTTCGGATCCATCAGCCCCTGCAGGGAGCCAGGGAAGTGTTTTGGTATCAATATAGTCAAGAGGAGTCTTGCCTCTCTCCAAAAAGGGGCCACGCTTTCTCCTCTCCACCATCCTGATCTATCACCCAGGGAGGACAGGAAAAGAATCCTCCCCCAAATCCAAAACAATTGCTGAGGATCAAGGACTAAGACACACACTTTTAGGTACCAGAGCAACTCTCCCCTTCCACAGGACCAGCAATTTGCAACTGCCTTCACCTGTCAGGTTGAGGCTGTTAATTCCAGAAGGGATTAGTCCAGCTGAACTGATAACAGAAATTAATCCTTCCCCCTGCAGAGCACTGAGGGCTGATTTGTTCTGCCTGGCAAAGTGGTTGCTTGTCCTTTTCTTCTGCCTGACACAAAACCCTGAGCAAAGGGAGCAGCAGCAGCAGCACCAGGAGCGTGTCCCTGCCCAACCAGGGGGGTCTGGAGGAGCCACGAGAGTTCCAGCACGCTGGAATGAGCACGTGGATACCCCTGCAGCCCCCCCCACTGCAGCACTGGGACTCTGCTGGGCTTGGAGAGCCCGTTTACTTGGAGGCAAAGTTACTGGAAATGCAACAATCAGGGAAGATTTTTGCCCTGCAAGGAGCAGCAACCCAAGGCCAGCGACTCCCCCACGGTGGGGGGGGGGGGAAGGAAATCCCCCCACAGAACCACCAGGAACTCCTCTCCCCCCCCCTGCTTTGGAGGTGCTGGGTAAGAGGGCAGAATCCTTCCTGGGCACCAGAGCCCACCCAGCCTAATGCCAGGATTAAAATGCCAGGCAGTAATTCCGGCCCCAGGGACTCGCTGGAGAAATGAGCCGCAAATCAGCCGAAAATTAGAGCTCTTGCCATCCCTTGTCCCACTCCATCAGTTCTGCTGCTGCTCCTCTCTGAAAAGGTCCTCCTTGCTCTTCCCATGGGCCATCAATCCTCTCAGTTTGCCTCCTGGCTTCCCTTTCTTCTCCCATCCCCTTTTCCACTCCAGGATAATTGGGCTGAGGGCTCAGAGGCGCCTTTTGAAGTGTCTGTGTTCACCTGTTGTCCCCCAGTGACTCTGGTTTCGTGCCCTCCCCAAGCACAGCTCTGCCCAGGCGCAGGGGGGAGCTCATCCCCCACCAGAGCTGCAGGGACAACATTCCAGCTCTGGGAAAGAGCATTTTGTGCTCGCAGAGGTGAAAGCAGCAGGTAAATTTAGGGCCGTTTCCCAGCCCCCACTGACCTGAGAGAGGGGAGGGAGAGTCCAGCTGCTGCACCAGCTGTGGGAGGGGCAGCTCTACCTTGTCCTCCTCCGGCCCCCACCGGCTCTTCCGCTTCTTTTTGGTGGTGCCCGGAGCGGCCGCGGGGGTGGCGGGGGTCGTCTGGTCAGGGGGGGTGGTGGAGGAGGAGGATGGTGAGGGGGAGGAGGGGGGCACAGGGAGGGCTGGGGGCACTGCCAAGGGCACGGGCAGAGGGGAGGGGACGGGCAGGGGCGAGGGAATGGGCACGGGAAGGGGCGGAGGGGCAGGAACGGGCACGGGAAGGGGCAGAGGGAGCGGGGAGGGAAGGGGCAAAGGCAGGGAGGGGAAGCACAGGGGGGAAGGGGAGGCCTCAGGGCTGGTTTTCCTTTTCAGGCTGGGCTCTCCAGGGAAAGGGGCACAGCCAGGGCTGGCCTTGGCCTTCCTGAACTCCTCCAGCTTCTGCCTGTAATACTTGTAGCCTTTGCTGTTTGGCTCATACAAAAACCTAAAAAACACCAAAAAAAAAACCCAAAAGAAACATGCGTGTAAGCCGTGGCAGCCACACACTGTGCTCAGGGCTCCCCCCTCCTGCAGCACCCAGAGCCCTCCCACAGCATTCCCAACTCTCCAGCACCGCCCCGTGTGCACCCACAGCCAGTGCAAGGGCTTTTCCACCCCCTGATCCCACACTCCCCGTGCCGTGGTTCCCTGGTTTTTGACGCCAAACAATCCAGGAGTTCTGGAAAAATATCAAACCCCCCCCCCCCATCCTTCTGCAGGAGGGCAAATCCCTCTCCCCCAAAAATTCACCTGGCTCGGAAAACCTGACTCTGCCCCTGTCACTCCCCACCCCTTTTAAACCAGGGGAAAGAAGAAAAAAAAAAAAAAAAAAAAAAGGTGGATTTTGATGTACCTGAAGGCAGGGTTCTCTCTGTTGTTCTGCAGGGCAATGGCCTCCACCTCGGGCCCCCCGGCCGCCACAAACCTGGCCAGCTTTTCCGCCGACTCCCTCGTCTCTTCGTCGTCTGGGGGCGAGACTTTAAGGGGGCCCTGAGTACCGGGCCCAACCCAACAAGCAACAGTCAAAGCCTACCTGCTCCAAGGACCCCAAGAGCAGAATAAGGGCGAAAATGGAGTTTAAACGGGCGGAAATGGCAGCACAGGAACAGTTCAGAGCACACACAGCACACGATGCCAGGGCAGGGACACAGCCCGGCCTTCCAGGGGGGGCACTCGGCCCTCCCTGCTGGGAGGGGGTGGCATTTGAACCCTGTGCCAGGCACTTTTCCATGGGGTTACACCCCTCAGGATTATCCCCAGTTAAAGATTTGGCTTTTTTTTTCCCCCCCCTCCCTATGCCAGGCATTTTTCCACAGGGTCACACCCCTCAGGATTATCCCTGGATTGCATTTTTCCCCCGTGCCAGGCACTTTTCCACAGGTTTACATTCTCAGAATTACATCTAGTTAAAAGATTTTGCATTTCTTCCCCCCCACCCCCAATGCCAGGCATTTTTCCACAGGGTTACAGCACCCAGAATTATCCCTGGTTCCCATTTTTCCCCCGTGCCAGGCACTTTTCCACAGGGTTGCACCCCTCAGGATTATCCCTGGCTCAGGATTTTCCCCCCAGAAGGGCTCAGGAGCACTGGGAAAAACCTTTGGAAAAGGGGACAACTCCACATTCCCCACAATCCCAACCTGTCCCTCCACCTGGAGGCTGTTTGAGGGGAAGGCAGAGGGAATTCCCCATGGAACCACCCCAGTCCTCCCCTGGAAGAGGTGGCTCATCCCAAAGCACAGAGAAGGCCCTGCCCACGGAGATTTCAAGGATAAATCTGGTGTTTTTAAGGAGCCAGGGAATAATTTAATGATCCATGGCAGCCCCACGTGACATTTTACTGCAGACATCACCCAATCCTGCTGTTTTCCCACCTGAAAACATTCCCTTCCTTGCGAGGATTTATGTCCCAGGGGGGGATAAAAAAATATCAAAATTTCAGGGAAGGAAACAGCAGCAGAAACAGGGATTATGGTCAAAAACCAACCAAATCACTTTCATTGAGAACAAACAGTTAAAGTATTTTGGAGAAATGCAAGGAAAGTCTCTCCCAAAAGCCCTTTGGAGTATGGGACATCTTGCTGTGGGGCTTGGGAAACGACCATTTTTTGGGCCCAAAAATTGGCTCCTTGTGCAGTTCATCTTCCCCGGCTCCCAGCGGGAATTACCTTTGTGGGAAGAGGCTGCCTGAGAAGTTTGGTTCTCTTTCCTTATCTCTGCCACTTTCTTTCTGTAGTAAAGGAATTCTCTGCTGTTCTTATCGTGCAAAAACCTGGATGGAGGGGAAAAAAAAAAAAAAAGCCAAAAAAACCCCCATGGATCAGCAATTCATAAATTCAAAAAACCAGCTCAGATCCCGAAGGAAGGACAGAAAAATTACTCAGAACACCCTCAAAACGTGGATTTAGCATTTGCAAACACGCAGAGCTCTGATCCAAGGACCTGCACCCAGATTTGTGTCACTTGAAGGGACATAAAGAACAATCTGTTCCTGATACGGGAGGGAACCCTCTGCCCACCAGTCCTGGGATCACATCCAGCATTCCCACGGGCTGGAGGTGGCACAGGAGCTCTGCTCCCTCCTCAGCACCACCCTGGGGGCACTTTCTGCCTCAGCCACTGAACAGTTACTCCTGACAGAGCTTAAATCCACCAAGGAATCCTGGAACGGTTTGGGATGGATGGATCACCCACTGCAGGGGGACTCCCTCCCAGTGTCATTCCCACCCGTCACAAGGCTTAAAACCCGCTGGAAATAACATCCCAGAATGGTTTGGGTGGGAAAGGATCTGAAGGATCATCCAATTCCAATGGGCAGGGACACCTTCCACCACTCCAGGCTGCTCCAACCTGGCCTTGGGTACTTCCAGGGAGGGGGAATCCGCCCTCCATCCTGGCTTGACACAAAAATTGGACACAAATCCTTGGATTGGAGCTCACAAACGCTCAACCCACCTCTGAAGTGCCTCCCCACCTCCCTGGGAACACACAACCCACCCCAACCCCGCCGTTTCCCCGCTGGGAGGAGGCGAGGCCGGGGCTGGGGGCCGCCCCCTCCCGGACTTACGAAAAAGCCGGATTATCCTTGTAGTCCTCCATAGCGACCTTCTCTAACTCTGGGCCCCCTTCAGCCACGAACCTGGCCAGCTTTTCCACCACCTCCCGGGTCTCCGCATCCTCTGGGGGTAAAACTTTAAGCAGGCTGTCAGTACTGGGGGTCAACTCACACACCAGGGCCCCGCGGCCGCCGCCCCCGCGGGGGGCAGGGAGCGGGGGGCACGGCGCATCCGGGCGGGCACAGGCGCGGAAATCACGGCTCCCAGCCGACCGGCGGGCTCTCTGACTCCCTTAGGAGTTAACAGGCTGGGTGGCTCCTACAAGGAAAAGCCCCAGATGTGGATCCCCAGGCCGGTCCGGGTCGGAAGGGACCCCCAAAAAGCTGGTCTGTCCCCCGCGCCCTGCCGCGGGCAGGGACGCCCTTCCACCGGCCCGGGGTCGCTCCAGCCTGGCCTTGGGCGCTCCCAGGGGGTGGGGAATCCACGGCTCCATCCCAGTCTGGAGCTCCAGCTCAGCAGGGCTGAACCCAAACCGCCTCTGGTCGCAGCATAATTGTTCTCCTGACCGTTCGTATTCCATACAAAACGCACCAGGGAGGACCAGGAGTTTGGGTCGGTGGGCGGAACCACCACGTTACTCACTGGAGATTCCAGATTCCAGTTCCCAAGACATTCCCTGTCCCCAGCTCGTGGACACAGACTGTGTGGCTGGAGCAGCAGCTCTTCCTGCTGGCACTGCCCATGTCCTGCTCCAAAAAACTCGATTTTGGCTTCTGTGCCAAAGGGAAAAGCCCAGGAACTCCGACAGGGATGATGTTCAGTGGGAACTTAACACAGGCCTTTGTCCAGGCCAGGAGATTTTTTTTGGGGAAGGGCAGAGTCACCCATGGGATCAGCCCCACAAACCCTAAATTCAGGCTCCACAGCCCCACTCTGCACCCCACAGCCACTTCAAGCACTCAGGACCCCGAGGTGAGATTTTTTTTTCACCAAAACTCAGTAAAAGAGGCAGGGATTTGGGTTCCACCTGGTCCCAGCTCCCTGCAGGACACGCCATTCATGTTTATTAACACCCTACAGTTCCCCAACTGATGACTTCTCATTTTTTTCACCACCTAAAACCACTTAAAATCCTGTTTCAAGCACGAAAATCAGGATTTTCTGGAGAACTCAGCACTCGGCCCAAGGCACTCAAAAGGCCAAACTCAGAATTCTTATGACTAACAAACCACCCCAGGCCCACTAAGGGCAGGTCATTTTTATTCTCTGCACCTTATTTTCACAGGTTATGGGCTGGTCAAGCACCTGGGTTGATAAATTAGAGAAAACAGATCTTCCTAAGCCTGGTCTAAGTCTGGAGAGTGATACTGAGCTCAGGCTGGGTCAGTAATGCCTAAAATATCAGTATGGGGTTGGGAGAGACCTTAAAGATCCTCCAGTTCCACCCCCTGCCCCGGGTAGGATTATAAACCAGGGGACAAACAGCAAACAGAATAAAAGCAGAATATTAAGCTGTAATTAACATATATAAAAATAGGGTTGCTGTTGAGAATTGTGTCTGTTATGTAGGTAATGATACAGAGAGATAAATTTCCCCTAAATCAGGAACATCATCAATCAGACCTTGGTGTCTCTGCTGAAGTTTCTGCTCCAGCCACTGCTCATAATCCTGTCCCTGCATGATCCCCTATCCCAGGATTGGTGCTCCTGCATCCCAGATGGAACTTAGGTCCCTTCATTGGACCCTTAACCCGGAATAGGTGATCCTGCATCCCAAATAGAGCACAGGGAGTCACTGACCTCTGATTTCCAACCACTGCTCATAACCCTGTCCCTACGTAATCCCCTACCCCAGGATCGGTGCTCCTGCATCCCAAACTGATGGAGCACAGATCCCTACACTGAACCCCTACCCCAGGATTGGTGCTCCTGCATCCCAAATGGAACACAGGTCCCTGCACTGATCCCTTATCCCGGGACAGGTGCTCCTGCATCCCAAATGGAACACAGGTCCCTACACTGATCCCTTATCCCGGGACAGGTGCTCCTGCATCCCAAATGGAACACAGGTCCCTACACTGATCCCTTATCCCGGGACAGGTGCTCCTGCATCCCAAATGGAACACAGGTCCCTACACTGATCCCCTACCTCGGGACTGGTCCTCCTGCATCCCAAACTGCTGGAGCACAGGGAACCACAGACCTTTGATCTCCAGCCACTGCCCATAATCCTGTCCCTATATGATCTCCTATCCCAGGATCGCTGCTCCTGCATCCCAAACCTCTGGAGCACAGGGAATCACTGACCTTTGATCTCCAGCCACTGCTCGTAGTCCTCGTCGTCGTCCTCGTCGGGGCCCTGGAAGACGCTGGGGCGGGGCAGGGGCAGGGCAGGGCCGGGCCGGGGCTGGGGGAGGCTCCGTGCCTGGTGCAGCATCCGGCTCAGCAGCTGCCGCTTCCCGGGGAGCCGCTTCCCGCTGTTCCCGCTGCTCCCGCTGCTCGGGGCCGGAGCGGAGCTGGGGGGGGGCTCTGCAGGGGGGGGTGGAGCAGAGGGAGAATTCCCGGGATCAGGGTTTTGGATCGGCGGAGAAATTACCGAGGGGGAAAGCGGAGTAAAAGCTGCACAGGTTTTGTGTTTAGTTAAGTTAATGAGTTAAATTTGTTAGTGGAAATATTTAGCCAGGGAAATTCGGAGGGAAATTTCTTCGAGTCAAAATTTTTGGAGAGGAATTGGACTCCAAGGAACTGGAAAGGAACTGGAGAGGAACTGGACAAGAATTGGACTCCAAGGAGCTGGACAGGAATTGGACTCCAAGGAATTGGACTCCAACGAGCTGGACAAGAATTGGACTCCAAGGAGCTGGAACTCCAAGGAGCTGGAACTCCAAGGACATTAACAAATTTTAAGGAATTTTTAAATAAACGTCATTAATTTGAAAACACTGATATTGAAGCAACTTAATTTGTTATTATTAATTTAATTTTAATTGAATTTAAAACACAAGTAAAAAAAAAAACCAAACAAACAAAACACTGATGATTTTTCACAAAGAGAGATTCGAGCCAGAGGAGAACTGCTTGACTTCACAGCACGAGGAGGGGGAGGGAGGAATGGAAAGAAAGAGGGAAAAAACTTCCCTGGGGCATCCCAAATCCAGCCTTTAACCTGGATTTTCAGGGATAATCCCCACCTCAGAACTTCCTAGCAGGGGTTCAGGCAGGAGCAGGGACTGCTCCAGAGCTCGGGATGGACCTACCAGCACTCGACTTTTCCTTCTGGAGCTTGAGGAACTGCTGCAGGAAACTCCCATCGTTCACGAACTTGTTGGACACGGAGGCGTCGCTTTCAGATCCGTCATCGCTGGGTGGGGAGAGAAAAAGATGCAGGGATTTGGGGGCAGAAAAGGGGATAAAACCCCAGGAATTAGGAATAAAAGGGGGAGATGGAGCTCAGGAGGCTCCAGATCGTAAATACATCCATATGTAACTTCTATCACAAATATGTCATAATTATATCAATATATTAATACGTCATATCCATAATTCATATGGTAAGTATATCCATATGTAATTCCTATCATGGATATAACACAATATATCAATACATTGATAAATCATATATATAGTCCTATAATACATCAACATTATTTCTATCACAAATATATTAATCTTAATATATCACATATATAATTTCTATGCTAAACATATCATAAATATATTAATACATTAATCACACATAATTAATGTAATTAATATATCAACATGTAAGTTACTAACATAAATACCTAAATATGTTAATAATTCTTATATAGAACATGATGTCTATAAATGATTATATATAAATTATAAACTATATATAAATATATAATTTCTAAGAAATATTTCTACTAAAGCCCGAAACCCCCAATTCCCCCGTGGATCACCCCAATCCCACCCCTGGCTCAGCCCCTCACTCCAGCATTCCCATAGAGCTCCCACAGGGTGCAGAGCTCCTCCTCTCCCTCCCTCCCCACCCCACTTCCCAAAACTCCCCCTGTTTGGAGCCCTGGAATATCGGAGTGTCCACGTACTCTCCGAGCAGCGGGAGCTGGGGGATGCTCAGGGAGTTCTGCCTCGCCTGCTGCTCCAGCCGGGCCTCGATCTCCCGCTTCTTCTGGGCGATGAGCTCCTCCTGCTGCAGGATGTTCACGCTCGTCTTGGCCGCCTTGGACTGGGACGCGCCGAACCACCGGCTGGCCTTGCCTGCGGGAAACAGAGGGAATTGTTTGGGATCGTCCTGGGAGCACCGGCTCGGTTTTCCCTCGGGGGAAAAGGGAGCAGAACACTAACGGGGGAGGAGGAGGGGTCATCCCAAACCGCCGCCTCGCCTTCCCTGCAGGGAAAGCAGAGGGCAATATTAACGGAGGGCAATATTAACGGAATATTAACCAGCGCCTCGCCTTCCCAACGGGAAACCAACGGAGCTGGGGAGCAAGGGGGGGGGGGGCGGGTGGAGAGCGAAGCCACGGCACCCCACGGGCACACAGCCACCCGTGGGGCACAGGCAGCCAAGCGCGGCTCCCGGAGCGCCGGGAGGGAGGCGGGAGGGAAGGGAGGGAGAGGAAGGAAGGAGCGGCCGGGCCGGGCCGGGCCGTACCTGGAGCATCCCGGTGGTTGTCCATTTTGGAGTCCCCTTCCCAGCGTGCCCCGCGCGCCGGGAGCGCCGCGCCCGAGGGGGGCCGCGCGGCCGCAAAGGCTGCTGGGAGTTGTAGTCCCGCGGGGGGGAAGGGCGCTGCGCTGAGGGAGTTATTTAATTAAGTTTGGCTGTTAATTGGCTAATTAATCGCCCGCGGAGCTGTGCGGCCGGCACGAGGCGTTTCGGGGGAAACTTAGGAAAATTTGGGGAATTTTACGTTTGGCTAAATCAGCGTTGAGGCGCCACAGTGAAAGCGTGGGAGAGAAACGTTGTATGTGTCACATTTTAGATGTATTATATGTTATAGATCATATCTTATATAACTTATGTATTATGTATTTTATAATATATAATAGGACACAGACATTTTAAGAGGCATTTTGGAGACATCCTAAAAGCTATTTTAAAACACAATTCTAAAGGAAAGAGAACTTCTAAAGGAGGGCAGAACAGGCCCAGGCTCGGAGCGCGGGGACTACAACTCCCACGAGCCCCCGCGCGCGAACCACAACTCCCGCCGTGCCCCGCGGCCCCCGCCCGTGTTGTCGGCGGCCCCAAGATGGCGGCGGTGGCGGCGGGCGCGGCGGCCCCTCAGCAGCCGCCGCCGCCTCAGCAGCCGCCGCAGCCGGCGGGAGGCGGCGGGGCGGGCTCCGGGGACGCCGCGGGAGCCGCGGGTGGCGCCGGAGGGGGGGGCGGCGCGGGCGGGGGCGGCGGCGGCGCGGCCGGGCCCGCGGCGGGGTCGGGGCAGGGGGGCGGCGCGGCCGCGGGCGAGTCGTGGTACCTGGCGCTGCTGGGCCTGGCCGAGCATTTCCGCACGTCCAGCCCGCCCAAGGTGCGGCTCTGCGTGCACTGCCTGCAGGCCGTGCTGCCCCGCAAGCCCCCCGCCAGGATGGAGGCCCGCACGCACCTCCAGCTCGGCTCCGTCCTCTACCACCACACCCGCAACGGCGACCAGGCCCGCGGGCACCTGGAGAAGGCGGTGAGTGGGATGGAGGGGGCGAGGGAAGGGAGTCCCGGTGGGTGCTGGTCCCGGACTAACCCCCTGTGTTCCCTTGCAGTGGCTGATATCCCAGCAGGTATCCTTTTCCTGGCACAGCGCTGCTGCTTCTCCTGCCTGGTCCCCTGTGCTGGGTGGGAGCACATCCAGGGAGCGGATGGATCGGTGGGAGGAGCTGAAAAATTCCCTCTTTTCCCAGGTTTTGCCTGTTCTCTGCTCCCAAAGAACCTCGAGGTGTTCAAAGGCAGAATTAATTGTCCTTTACAGGTGCTGAGCACAAAACACCTCCATGGAAACTCCTTAAACGCCTCTAAAGGCCTGGGGTGGGGGTTCAACTGGTGCTTTAATCTATTTTAAACCTATTTTTTCTGTATTACATCACTGGGGGCCTCTTGCATTGACCGCCGGGATGGTTTGGCATGGAAAGGGATGTCAAAGCCCGTCTCATCCCAACTCTCCCGAGGGGTTTAAGGCCTTTTGGAGGCCGGGCTGGGGCTGTTCTCCACACGGTGCCCGTTGTCCCTTAACTCTGGTGCCAGATCCCGCAGTTTGAGGACGTGAAGTTCGAGGCAGCCAGTTTGCTGTCGGAGCTGTACTGCCAGGAGGTGAGTGGAGCAGCTGATTCCCACCAACAGGACGGCTTTTATGGGATTTTTAGAGTTGTGGTGTAAAACATTTAAGTTAATAAGTTAAAAAAAAAGGGCACGAAAGGCTTTTTGTTGTCTCCTCAGTTTATCCTGGAAGCCCCTGCTGGAATCGCAGCGTGGGTTTTCCAAAGGGATTTTCCTTGGCCGAGGCGTCCCTTTGCAAAGGCTGATTTTGGGGGTGGGATGGGGGCATTAAGAGGGTTTTCCTCAGGGGTTTAGAACCAGGGAATGGCCACCCAGTGCCACCCCCCTGCCCTGGGGACACCTCCCGCTCTCCCAGGTGGCTCCAGCCTGGCCTGGGACGCTCCCAGGGACGGGGCAGCCACTGGGAATCCTCTCCCACGGTCTCCCCTCTCGCTTTTGCTGCTTCCTTACCTTGAAGTTCCCCATCTCCACAGCCCAGCAGGCCGTGGGGCTGATTTTCAGGCTCGTTGTGATGGGAGGGGGGAGGGATTCCCAAATTCCCAAATGTCCCGGCTTTGTGTTGCAGAATTCCGTGGACACGGCGAAGCCGCTGCTGCGCAAGGCCATCCAGATCTCCCAGCAGACTCCCTACTGGCACTGCCGCCTGCTCTTCCAGCTGGCAGTAAGTGATCCCTGCCCCTGCAGCGGGGAAAAGGGCTGGGAAAAGCCCTGGGATGCCCTTCCCACCCCCCCCTCCCCATCAGCCCTGGGTTAACAGGGAGGGGAAAGAGGAATCAGCGGTTTGATTGGGCTGGAGGGAAGCAGCAGGGATCGTCCCATGGGAACTGGGAACGAACGCAGTTCCAGAGGTGGAGTGGGGAGAAAAAAAAAAAGGGAAAAAAAAAAAAAAAAAGGCATTTTATGGCTTGCAGGAGATTGCCTGAAACGCTGCTGTGGAATTGGGGGTTTGCCAGGGTGAGGGGTTGTTGGGGTGTTTTAAGGTTTTTTTTTTTTGTACTTTATGTAAATATAAAGCTGGTTTTATATTAAAGCTGATTTTTTTATGTATTTTGTATTCGTGTAAGTATAAATTATAAAAATAAATGCATTAATATATGTAATATATATGTACAAAGATAAGGTACGTGTAAAATGAGCTTCAGCTGCACAGGTCAGGCCTGGGAACTCTGGGGGTAAACTGGTGCAAATAAACCTGGAATTGGCAGCGTTTGGTGTTTGTCCCAGTCCTCAGCTGCTCCCAAAGTGCTGGTTTTCCCGGGTCATCCAAAGTGTTGGGTGGGAGCTTTTAAGCCTGTCCTGAATGCCCTGTGCTTGCCTTTCCCCCCCTTCCTGCTGAGCTCAAACCACCCAGAGCAGGGGCTGCTCTGCTCCTCCGGCTGGAAAAGGCTCTGTTCCAGTTATTCCACCTGAACAATCCGTGGTCTTCACACGGAGAGCACATTAATTGGTTCCATGGAGAAAACACCCACCTTTTTGTGTCCTTTTTTTTTTTGTTTTTGTTTTTTTGGTCATTTCAGCAACTCCACACCCTGGAGAAGGACTTGGTGTCAGCGTGTGACCTGCTGGGGGTGGGAGCAGAGTACGCCAGGGTGGTGGGCTCCGAGTACACCAGGTGAGATCCCAGGGGTCCCTTCCCTCCCCAGGGAAAATATTATGGCTTTTTTTTCCCCCCACCTCCCCTTTTTATTTAGAGCTTTTCTGTTCTGGTTTAAGGATTATGTTGGTTTGCCTCTGAACCCCACCCAGAAATCCCACTGCTGAGGGGGTTTCTCCAGCTTTGGGGGGGCGTTCCCAGCTCGTTCCTCTTCCTGCTTACAGAATCCCAGAGTGGTTTGAGCCAGAAGGGCCTTAAAGATCATCCAGTTCCAACCTCCCAGGGACACCTTCCAGCACACCATTAAAGCTGTTAAACCCAACCACGTCCTCTTAAGACTCTGGAGAGGTTTTTGGAACTGAATTTTCCCTGGTTTGACCTCAGAAACTCTTGTAGCTGGAACTGTCCAAAGCTGAGGCTGGAATGTTGATTCCTGCAGCTCTGATTGACCCGTTCCACACAGCCTTTAAATGGGTTTCCTGTGGCAGGTCCCTTAATTCTCCTTTCTTTCTGCTCTTCAAGGGGTAGAAAGGCAAATCCTTATTTTTAACATTATTTTTTTTTTTTAAGACATAATTGTGATTTGAGTAATCCTTTTGGAGCATAACATGATTTTGTTTTATTTCAGAGCACTGTTCCTGCTCAGCAAGGGGATGGTGAGTTGCATGTTCCTTTTAAACTCTTCACTTCTTGGGTTCCCCCCCCCCCCCTCAATTGTGACACGATTTTCTGGAGGGAAAAAGGATAATTGGAAGTTGTAAAAAGGGATAATTGGAAATTGTGAAAGGGTAATTGCAAACTGTCACTGGAGGGAGGGAGGGTCTGGCTGTGGGAATCTTGCAGCGAGGTGAATAAATCAGTGTGGCTGGAACGAGAACCCTGGAGTGGTTTGGGTTGGAAGGGCCTCAAAGCCCATCCAGTGCCACCTCCCGCCATCCCAGGCTGTTCCAAGCCCCATCCCAGGAAAATTCCAGGGATGAGGCAGCCACAGCCGCTCTGGGAAATCCATCCCAGTTCCTCTCCGTGGGCTCTGCTGTGGCTCTCTGAGTGTCCCATCTGTTCAGCACAGAAGTAATGACTGGGTTTTTTTTTTATCTCCCCCCTTCCCTTTGGGATTTCAGCTGCTCCTGATGGAGCGGAAGCTGCAGGAGGTTCACCCTCTGCTGACCCTCTGCGGGCAGATCGTGGAGAACTGGCAGGGGAACCCCATCCAGAAGGAATCCCTGCGCGTCTTCTTCCTGGTGCTGCAGGTCACGCACTACCTGGACGCTGGGCAGGTAGGGGGGAGCTCCCAGGGGGCCCTGGGAAGGGCAGCACTGCCTCCAGAAACACCTTCTTGTGTGGTTTTTTTTTTTTTTTTTTGTGTGAAGGAAACTGAATTTCTGGAGGTTTTCGTCACAGGTGGAATGAGGGGGAGAAACGACTTGAATTTCTTCCTCAAGGGGTGTTTTTATGTCTTTGGCCTCTCTTGCTTCCGTGTGGTGCTGCTGGGGGCAACAACCACCAACCAAAAATTAACAAAAAGGAGGGGTTTTGTGTAACTTTGGGGAGCATCCTGGTCGTATTTTCAGGAATTGGCAGTGTTGTCGATCCTGCAACAGGCCTGAAACAGTCCCTGTTAGGCTTTGGGCAAGAACTGATCCCCTGGCTGTGTGTGATGGGGGGTTGTTTGTTGGCTGGGAGGCTCTCCCAGCCCTCCCAGCCCCTGGAATGGCGCAGCTGGAATGTGGTCCCTGCCAGGTGAAGAGCGTCAAGCCCTGCCTGAAGCAGCTCCAGCAGTGCATCCAGACCATCTCCACGCTGCACGACGACGAGATCCTGCCCAGCAACCCCGCTGACCTCTTCCACTGGCTGCCCAAGGAGCACATGTGTGTGCTGGTCTACCTGGTGAGAGCCCTTCGTTGCTAATTATCTGCTAATTAATTAGCGAGGGGGCCGGGTGGAAACGCGGAGCTGCGCCTCGGCACCCCTGGGGTCATCAGGGTGAGAAAAGAGGGGAGAGAAGCCCAAAAACTGAAACTGAGCTCTGTCAGTATGCACCTCAAAAGTGGGTTGATTGGTGCAAAGAGGAGCCACCTTGGCTGATTTTTACCAGTGTTACCCCAGTTGGACCCTGAGCCTCTGGAACTGGGGCCGGTTCCGCTTCTTGAACGTGATCCAAGGCCGGAATGTTGTCAGGAGAGAGCTGAAAAGCTGGGAGCTGAGGAGCTGTGGGGGCTCCCAGACCTTGTGGGGACCCCCAAGCCCTTCCCTCTTTGTGCAGAGGATTTTAAAGGCGACCCTGGAGCGGTTTTGGGTTGGAAGGACCTTCATCCATTCCCACCCCCTGCTATCCCAGGTGGCTCCAGCCTGCCCTTGGACGCTCCCAGGGACTGGGACACCCCCAGCCTGCGTGGGAATTCCCTGCCAGCTCGTGCCCGGGCTGCTGGGCAGGCTGAGGGCGGTGAGTGAGCCGTGCTGTGTCTCCTGCAGGTGACAGTGATGCATTCCATGCAGGCAGGGTACCTGGAGAAGGCCCAGAAGTACACGGACAAAGCCCTCATGCAGCTGGAGAAGCTCAAAAGTAAGGAGGAAGGGCTTGGAATTCAGCTGGTGCTGCACAACCCCAGTATTTGTTGCTGGTTTAAGCCAAGCACAGCCTTGTTTGGCTCTCTGGTCAGTCTAAGACCAGGCCAAGACTTTTGCTCTGTTTTAAGGCTGGGTGTTCGCTTTAAATACAGAAATACCTTTACTAATAGTATCAACTATTCCACTGTTCCCCCTGTTTGTTCCCACTATTTCCACTCTTTGTTTCCAGTATTTCCACTGTTATTGTCTTTGGTGATTGCTCTGAATACAAAAATTAGTAGTTTGTTTATTATTATTATTAATAATAATGTTAATGTTGTTACTATTAAAATATCGAGTTTGGGGAGGGGGGGTTGGAGCTCAGTGATGGGGCTGTGAATTCCTGAGGTAACTTCACTTGCTGTGGTCCTTGTCCCCCCTCTCCAGTGCTGGACTGCAGCCCTATCCTGTCCTCATTCCAAGTTATTTTGTTGGAGCACATCATCATGTGCCGGCTGGTCACAGGGCACAAAGCCACGGCCCTGCAGGAGGTGAGGATGGCCCGGGATTCCAGCACCCCCTGGATGGGGGTGGGGGGCAGGAACAGCCTTTGAAACGTCGTCCCAGGCAGGGAGATTCAGAACCAGTCCCAAGCCCGTTCCCTGGAGCGCTTCATCCCAGTTTTTGGGGGCACTCTCGGGTTTGGAGCCTGCCAGGGGGGATTGTGTGGCTTGGTTTCCAGGCTGGGTGGAGCTGCTGGAGCAAAGCATTCCAAAGCATTCCAGAAGAGTGTGGGGGGCAGTGCCTGTCCCTGGGCTGGAGGCACATCCAGCCCCCAGCTTTTACCCAGGAATGCCATTTGGGATCCTGGAAGCAACCACCGAGACAGTGAGGTGGGAGGAGATGGACGTGGAGCATAAAGTGGAGAGAAGGTGTCCTGACACATGGTTGTTTGTGTCTGTGCCAGATCTCCCAGGTGTGCCAGCTGTGCCAGCAGTCACCCAGGCTCTTCTCCAACCACGCTGCCCAGCTCCACACGCTCCTGGTGAGTGCCTGGAATCAACCCTGGAGCTCCCTGGAGCCCCAGATCCCGCCCTGCTCATCCCCAGGAGCCCAGGACAGGCAGGGAGTGGAGGAACAGGAATCCTTTGCTATGGGGGACCCACCCCTGGTGTGACTTCCCCCTGTCAGAGGCTTAAAACCCCTCTGGAAATAAGTGTTGGGGAATCCTGGAGTGGTTTGGGTTGGAAGGACTTTAAATCCCATCCCGTGGCAGGGGAACCTCCCGCTGCCCTGGGTTGCTCCAGCCTGGCCTTGGGCACTTCCAGGCGTGGAGAACCCACAGGTTTTCTGGAAAACCTGTGCCAGGCCCTCCCCAGCTTCACAGGGAAGGATTTGGGATCAGGAGTGGTGAGCAAGGTGAATGCAGGAGGTGGAAAACAGCCGGAGAGGGTTTGTTGTGGCAATTGCTGTGTAGGGAATTTTGGGTATTACTTGACATTTAAGGTGGTTTTCTTAGCTAAATGAGGCCCTTTTTTACGTGAACAAACTTATTTTAAAGGGCTTTTTGTAAGAATTCCTTGTTTTTCCCGGAGCCAGGCAAACCCAAGGCTCGTTGGTTACTTTTCCCTGCCAGATATCCCAGGATTTCTGTGGGTTTGGGGGTGCCTTTCTTTGCTGTGAGCAATCACAATTTGCATTTCTTCTCCTGCAGGGCCTCTACTGCATCTCTGTTAACTGCATGGACAATGCAGAAGCACAATTCACTACAGCCCTCAGGGTGAGATTTTTGTTTCCAGCCTTCCCCCTGGAAGTGGGGGGCTGTTGGAATTGTGTGGGAGCAGCTGAGGTGGGAAGGGAAACCTGGAAATAACCCGTATTTATTTCACTGCTTGGTTGGTTTGTAACATCACAGTCTCAGGTGTAGAAGGTGGGAGTTCTTTGGGATGGGGGAGGCTCTGGAATCTGTGACTGTGCTGCTGTTGGTCTGTGCCTTCCAGCTCACCACACACCAGGAGCTCTGGGCATTCATCGTGACAAACCTGGCCAGCGTCTACATCCGGGAGGGCAACAGGCACCAGGAGGTAAAAGGGCCCTGCCTGGCCCCAAAACCCCCTTCCCTGCAGGGAAAAAACCCCTCCTGGGCTTGGAATTCTGCTTTTCCCTGGGCGTCCTTGCGGTCAGAGCCCTGTTAGGGAGGGATCAGCTGGATCAGAGTGTTCTGGGTCGGAACGTTCTGGATCATCCCCGGAATTATTCCCATGGGAATCATGGCTGTGCTCCCACCTTCACCTGCTCAGCCTCTTGGCTTCCCTTTCCGTCCTCCCAGGGGTTTTGGGTGTTTCCATGAGTGCCTGAACAGCCACAAACAGGTGCCTGTGGCTGTTGGGGCTCGTTTTGCTTCACCCCGAAGCAGTTTCAGTCCCCAAATTTCCCCCAAAATCCCATATTTCCCCCCTGCACACAACAGCCCTGAGCTTCCCCAGGGAATAAAATCATTGTCTAGGAGATCCCCTGAAGCCTGAGAAATGATATTTTATCTAAAACCTGATTTTTGGGATCGAAATGGGCAGGAAACCTCGTGGTGTTGGAGTGTCTGTGCTCCGGTCCTTCCGGAGGGAGGGAGGGAGGGGAGTTCGGGTGTGTTTGGGACGATTTTGCACCGTTTGGGTTTGACTTACACTTAAAAAAAAAAAACCAAAATAAAGCACTTTCTGTCAGGCTGTGCCTGTGAGAAGTGCTGATTGTTTCCTCTCCTCTCCCTCTCTGCAGCTTTACAGCCTGTTGGAGAGGATAAATCCAGACCACAATTTCCCCGTGAGGTGAGAACTCCAGCATCTCTGGGGCCGGGAAGGGCTGGATTTGTGGCAGAAGTTCTGGGAATTCCCCAGCAGTCTGTGTGTGATTCCCCTGCCCCGTGCTGAGATCCCAACCTGTGCTTTTATCCGTAGCTCCCACTGTCTCCGAGCAGCAGCTTTTTACATCCGAGGGCTCTTCTCCTTCTTCCAGGGAAGATACAACGAGGCAAAGTGAGTGCAGATCCCTTGGAATGTGGGGAGCGGGGGAAAAGGAGGAATCGATCCAGATTTTTTGGGATCAGAACTTCTCCCTGTGGGTTTCTCCAGCCTCCTGATTTATTTAGGGGGGGGGGACAGCAAGCAGCTTGTTGGGTTTGGGCCTCTGTCCTGCGGAATCCTTTGGAATTTCGTTTCCTTGGTGCAGTTTTCCAAAGGAGGGAGCTCTGTCACAGCCTTTTTTTGTTTTTTCCCAAGCTGAGCTTTGGGAGTTCAGTGCTTTGTTTTACCTGCAGCACATTCATTCCCCACTCCAGTTAATTCAGGCCTTGATTCGGCTTTTAATGATGATTTTCCTCTGCTGGAAGGGAAGGGTTGTTGCTAAAGCCCCTCTTCTGCCCCGTTTTCCAGGCGGTTCCTGAGGGAGACCCTGAAGATGTCCAATGCAGAGGACCTGAACCGCCTGACAGCCTGTTCCCTGGTGCTCCTGGGGCACATCTTCTACGTGCTGGGGAACCACAGGGTAAGGCCTCCCTTCCTCCCTCCCTGCATGTGCCTGGGAACGTGGCACTTGGCATTTCCCAGAGAAACTCAGGGCCTTCTGGGAAGCAAATCTGATTTTTTTATTTTTTTTTATATTGCTGTCCCACAAAAAGTTGCCTTGGGTCTGTGATCTGCACGTTCAATAACTTCAATCCAGTGTTTGAAGTGTCTGTTCTGTAATGCCTGAGGAAAAGGGGGCTGAAAAGGGACAAGTGACATCATTCCAGTGGATTTTCAGGGAGGAATTGTGGATACAGTCCTCAGTTCTCACTGTTGTGCCAGAGCACAGGGAATATTTCTGCTGTGTTGCCCTGGAATTCCCAGGATGGGGCGAATTCCCGCTCTAGGATGGGTCTGGGGGGGAGGGATGCTGTCCCAAGGGAGCCAAATATTTCACCACAGATTCGACACCTGTGTTGTTTGCAAGGGGTGAAAGATAAAAACAAACCCCAAAAATGCCGTTTATTTTGTTTGCTCTGCCCTCTGCTCTCCCCACCCAGGAAAGCAACAACATGGTGGTCCCGGCCATGCAGTTGGCCAGCAAGATCCCAGACATGTCTGTGCAGCTCTGGTCCTCAGCCCTGCTCAGAGGTGAGGGGGGAGGAGAAAAAAGGGGCTTTCCTGGAATAAAGGGGCACTGGCAGGGAGGGTGGGGATGTGTGGGAATGCCCAGGGATGGAAGGGGAGCCCTCCAAGGGCTCTGTTCTGGAACCAGGCTGGGGGAGCTGGGGGATTCACCTCTTTCCAGGGAGACCTGGGAGCCCCTTGCAGGGCCTGAAGGGGCTCCAGGAGAGCTGGAGAGGGACTGGGGACAAGGGGTGGAGGGACAGGACACAGGGAATGGCTTCAGACTGAAATTTAGGTGGGATATTGGGAAGGAATTCCTCCCTGGGAGGGTGGGGAGGCCCTGGGATGGGTTTCCCAGAGCAGCTGTGGCTGCCCAAGGCCAGGTTGGAGCAGCCTGATCCAGTGGAAAGTGTCCCTGCCCAGGGCAGGGATGAGCTTTAACATCCCTTCCAGCCCACCCATTTCCAGGATTCCCCACAAACAGCTCCTGGTGGAACCGGTGGCCCCACTAGATGGGGCTGGAAAGCCAAAAATCCCAGCCCAGGTTGCTCAGGGGGGTTTCCAGTGGCGTGAGGAGTTTCCTTCCTCCTCGTGGAGCTGCTTTGATGTTCCCTTTGAACAGCTGGGAACTGAAAGAGCAGCAAATCCAGCTGGAAGAGGGAAGGGTTTTGGGGCTCCTTGGCGAGGTTTTTGGTCTGGAACACCATGACCTCGGTGTTGAAATGATTCCCCATCCAACACAGGGATCAGGGGTGTGTTTTTTATGGATAAAGGGAGCTGCTCACTTGGGATTGGGGTGCAAAGCAGTGGTTTGGGTTGGTTTTTATTTTCCCCCCCCGGTGCCTTCCAGACCTCAACAAGGCCTGTGGGAACGCCATGGACGCTCACGAGGCGGCTCAGATGCACCAGAACTTCTCCCAGCAGCTGCTGCAGGACCACATCGAGGCCTGCAGCCTCCCTGAGCACAACCTGATCACGGTGAGGCACCAGCCCTGCCCTCCCCTCAGCACCCTCCTCCCTGGGCTCCCCAAACCCAGCCAGATCCCCGCTGGAAAAGGGACAAAATTAACCTGTTTTTTATGAGGGTTGGTTGGTGGGACTGACAAGCAGGCAAAGTGACCCAGGTTGTTCGTTTTTGTGCAAAGGTTGGTTGGTGGCTTTGGGCTTTGCTCCTTCCAAGTGTTGTCTTGCCACACCTCTGCTTACTTTTTTTATTTTTTTTATTTTTTTTTTAAAGGCTTTTGTGGCCATTTGATGTGATGGAGTGGCCACTGGTGGGGTGGCCTCTTGTTTCGGGTGGCAGCTGTTGGTTTGGAGATAAAATTAACCACTCCCAGGTTTCACTGGAGGGTTTGGACCAGAGGAATTGGGCCTCTTTTGGGAGGAAAAGGGGGGGTGGGGAAGGCCAACAGGGAGGTGCTGTTTGCTGGCTTTGTCCCCGAGAGTTTTGGGGGGTGGTTGGGGTTTGTGAGCAGCGGTTTTGGGGGGGATCCCAGAGCCAGGTGCCCCCATCCCTCCACCCTGAGCCAGGCACAGAGATGTCCTTGCTGGCTTTTGCTGCTTTAAAAACCCGGGAGGGGGGGAAAAGGAGTAAGAAATGAATAATTTAGGAGGATTTTGGCTGAGGTGAGAGGGAAATATGTCATGGAATGAACACCCCTTGCCTTGCCCTGGAGGCCTCTGGCACGTCCAGGTGGGTCCCTGCTCGTGCTTTCCCGTGTTTAGGGGTCGGATTTGCCCCTGGAAGAGCAGGAATTGCTTCCCCTGGGTCCGGAATGCTGGGGGTGTGCGGAGGGGATCCCAAAAAAACCCACCAGCTGAAGGGATGTGGGGGTGAACTGTGGGATCCCCTGGAGGCAGGGAGGGTCTGTGAGGCCAGTCCTGCTTTTCTTCGGGGTGGGGGGGGAGGGTTTCCTGGGAATGTGTCCTGGAATGATGTCCGTTCTCTTGCAGTGGACAGATGGACCCCCCCCCGTCCAGTTCCAGGCCCAGAACGGCCCCACCACCAGCCTGGCCAGTCTCCTGTGAAACACAGTAACTATCAGGACAAAACTTAACCAAACCAAGCCAAAAACAAAAGAAAACAAAAAAACAAAACAAACAAAAAAAAGGAGAAAACAAAACAAAAATTTAATCCCTGCAAACTCCTTTTCTCCCACGGAAAAGGCAGCAGATTCCCTCTGGCAGCGAGGCCTTGTTAGGAGAGAGGTGGCAGAAGGACGAGGAGGAGCCTTGGTGGGAAGGGCAGCTAGAGCTGCTGCTCTTCCCGGTGGGAATGCCCAGGTGTGTGTGCACAGAGCTGCTGCTGGTCTGATCTGCTTCCCTCTGGCTGAGGATTGAGGGTTCAGCCCCCAGGACTCGCGTTCCTTACCTTGGTGTCCCGACTCCTCCTGGTTAAAGAGCTCCCAGGAAGCGAAGAGGACTCGGTGGGATTCCCGTTGGATCCTTCTTCCCCCCCTCCCTTTCCCTGGAGTGGATCCTGCTGTGCCCTCCGTGGGGATGCTGGGGTGAAATCATGGTGGATTTGTGGGGCCCAGCCCAGTTCCTGAGGGGGATCCTCCTGGTTTTCTGTGCTGTTTGGGGAAGGAAGGGCTGGGGGGGGGCAGGGTTTGGGTGTCCTGGGGGGTGTCCCAGGGCAGGTCCCACGTCCTGGATTGGCCCGGAGTGGGACAAAGAGCCACCACTGTGTCCCTGTGAGGGCCTCCCTTCCCTCTCCCTGGTCCAAACCACAGCTCTCTCCGTGGCTTGGTGGGTTTTATGGAAGCAGGAACGTTCCTCTCCTGCTCTTTGATCCCTTCAGGGGGGTTGTAAAAAAAACAGCCTTTTGCATCTTTGCTGCAGCCTGGCAGTGAAGGCACCTGTGCCTTAAGGACTTACAAAGGGTTAACCCAGCTGGTTAAACCCAGACCCAACATAAGCCAGAGGCTTAGGATGGAGCCACAGTCTTACCCTGGGCAAAATTGCCCAGTTTCCAGGTTAGTTTTCCCGTTCTAGCTCAGTTTTCTGGACCCTCCAGCTGTGAGTTCTCCCTTGCTGTGCCTCTGCAGCCTCAGGGCAGGGCACAGGCTGGGCCTGCAGAGAACTGGCAGGAGTTGATTCCAGGTTTTGCCAGGACCCAGCAGTGCCTGGGGAGGTTCCTGGGGTTGAATAAAGGTGTTTTTCTCTGTTGGTAGCTCTGGATATTCATCTCCCAGCTCCAAAAGGGGAGGGCAGAGGAGCATGTAGGGCCTTCAGTGATTCTGTCAGAGAGAGAAGTGACCCCCCTCAGGCCTTGTCTTCAGTCACAGATGGGTTGGAAGGGACCTTGAAATCATTTCAGCCCCCAGAGGTCATTTTCCCTTTCCAGTTCCCACCCCCTCCCTCTCAGCAGCTCACAGAGGTGGTTTCTTGGCAATCCAAACCCTTTCAGTTTTTCCCTCTGAAGGACGTTCAAGGGACAGGGGTTTTGTCCAGTTACCAGAACAGGATTCTGTGGATCCTCTCCCATGGAGATCCTGTTCCCAGACCTTGATGCCACTGCAGGCAGGGAATCTTGTCCCTGGCATTGCAAGGAAACCCCTCAGTGCTGTTCAAACTCACAAATCAGGATAGAAATGTGTGACCCAGGGTCTTGGAGGCCCCAGCTCCTGGGGGTGTGTCTGTCCCACAGCATTCCCATGGGAGCTCCAGGTCAGTGGGGCCCCGCTTTGGGGTGAGCTTTGGGGTCCCAGTGCTGCCCTGGTGGAGACAGAACCCCCCAGGAGCTCAGCACCCACCCCCTGCTCGGGCTGGGATCAGGAAGGATCCCACCTTGGAAATGCCCCATGGACTGCTCTGCTTTCCCTTGCCTGGGGAGCAGCATCTCCCTTTCTGTCTCTGTAGGTCACTGAGTTGAAACAACTCAGTTTTTAAGCCCCTAAATGCTGCTTTTCCCTGGCAGTGCCCTGAGCTCCTGAAGGAGGAGCAACTGGGAAAGAGGGGCTTGCAAATCCAGTGCCAGGCAGGGCCTCCAGCCCCCCTCTTGTCTGTCAGGACCTGGGTCCCTTCCAACTCGGAATGTTCTGTGATTGACTTCAGTCTCAGCTCGCAGTAAATGGCTTTTACTTTTAGGAGCAGATTGCCAGGAAGGGGTTGGGCTGGAGGGACTTTAAGGATCGTCCCATTCCCACCCTCCCTGCTGTGGGCAGGGACACCTTCCACTAGACCAGGCTGCTCCAAGCTGGGCTCAAACACTTCCAGGGATGGGGCAGCCAGGGCCTGGAATTCTGGCCAAGAGAAAAGAGCTGCTCCTGTCAGGCAGGATTTAAAAAAAAAAAAACAAAACCAAACAACAAAACCAAATCCAGAGAGCTGTGGTTTGGGCTGGGCTGAGGGAAGGCTTCTGGCAGGGACATGTCCAGCAGTGCCTGTTGGGGAAGGTGCATTTCCCGACTTCCTCGTGCTGCTCAGGGACCCCCCCAGAGCTGGAGATGGGGGTGGAGGGACAGAAATTCCCAGGGGCAATTCCCAGTGTGGCTTCTCCTGCTCCTTGGGGGTGATCCAGAAGGAAGGAAGGACCTGAGGGAAGGCTGATCCCGATCTCAGGGCCTGGAGCAGCATCCATGTGCTGCAGCACCAGGAGGATCCACCTGGGATCGCTTTGAGCCCAACAAACCCCCCCCTTTCATGCCAGGACTCAGCTCCAGAGCCCCCTTCCCACCCCAGCATTCCCATCCCTGTGTAAATTTGAACATAACCCGGTGATTTTCTATCTCTCCAGTCCAATGTACATCAGTGACAATGTACAGAAGCTTTTTAACTACACTTGTATATTAAATTATTTAATAGTTTTTTTTTTTTTTTTTTGCTTTTCCAGTACCTTTTGTATGTACCAGGGCTGAGAACAAGGCCCTCAGCTGGAGTTCTGCTCGTTTTCAGTGTGTAAAGTTGAACAGCAAACTAGAAAGTTTACAAAAATAACTCTGTCAAAGTGCTTTGGTCTGTTTGACTTGATTTGAACAAATTTCTAACCCTTCTTGTCCAACCATTTAATTCTCTCTCCCTCTCTCCAAACAACCCCTGAAGTCTTTTATGAGCTTCTAAAAAACACACACACACACAAAAGAAATTATTCTTCTAAAGATGTAATTTAGAGAAATGTACAGGTTTTGGGGTGTTTTGGGTTTTTTTTTTTTTCTTCGTTTTCCCTCTGGTATTTTTAAAGGAGTAGCAAGAACTTTAACCCAGCTAATCCCTGGTTGTAGATAGTGTAAAAAAAAAAAAAAAAAAAAACAAAAACCCTGATATGTGTATAGAGACTGCAGTCTGGAGATGTGTTTGCCTCTTGGATCCCGTTCCCTACAGCAGCAATAGTGCCAGTCTGGGGAGCTCAGAAGAAATTCACTAAAAAGAAGAATAAAATAAGAACAAAAAAAAAAAATCCCATCAGGAGCAAAGATTGGCTGATAAACGAGGGGCCTGAAGTTGCCTGAGCTCCCCTGCCCCCTCTAATTCTATCCAGTTTTCCCAAATTCCCTGGTGAACTAAAGGAACTGAGGGATGTCAGGACTTCCCGAGCCTTCCAACCCCGTTCCTGCCACAGGGTGGGGATGGGGGGGTGAAGAGAATCCTGGTGGGGTTTGTTGTTTTTTTTTCTTTTTGGCTGTGCAGAAAAATGGGGAGAAAAGAGGCTGAAATGGCACCTGTCCCTGTCCCCCCCCCGTGTGTCCCAGTGTATTTAAATGTCCCCCGAGTGTCCCCTGTCCCCGTGCACGTTGGGTGTTCGTAGGCCCCGAGGAGCAGGACAGAATTCCCAGCCCTGCTCCTGCCTGTAAATACAGCTCAGCTCCCGCCAGGAGAGGGGGCCCTGCTGCCCCCTGGCCCCCCCCTCCCCCCTCTCGTTTTCTATATTAGAAGAGTTTTTAAATAAAGTGAAATTTTACTTCTTGCTACCGCTTTGTAGAATCAGTTCCTTCAGTGCGGGCCGGGGGGAGGCGGCTGCTGGGCCCACAGCCCGGATTTCCTGCTCGGAGATGCTCCCCTGGGCTGGGCAGACGTGGCTGGAACTGCTCTGGAATTGCTGGAAGGCCAGCAGGTGCCTGGGATAACAGAGGAATCCATCAGACACCGGGAATTGTGAGTCCAGGACACGACTGGTTTCCCCCTGCACTTGTGGATGGGGCTGTGTTTGGTCTTCACCAATGGATCTGTTTTCAAGGGAGAGGTTTCCTCACTTTTATCTCCGAATTTTCACGTTTTCAGCTTTTTAAAGTCTTTTTTTTTTTTTTTAAATAACCACCAGAAGAAAACTGCTGAATTCTTTTTGAAAGCAAAACGTGGAAGGAACTGAAGATACAAGACTCGACTGCAGCCTGTCCCTTCCCAAAGCATCACCTGAGCTGCTGAGCTCCTCCCTGGAACTCCATCCGAGGAGCAGAGCAGGTTTTGCTCCAAAAAGGAAAATTCCAGCCCAAAGGGCAGCTCGCTTT